GTGTGTGTGTGTGTGTGTACAAACGCACACACATTTGCTGGCGCATATGCAGGTTTAGTCTCTTTTTTTTAAGGTAAAGACTGAGAACTTATTTTTAATTGCATTATTTGCTGTTTGCACTCAGTTTTGCTCACATCTCATATCATGGGTGCAGGGAATTGGCAGAATTAGGGTTCTCTGAGCAGAAATGCTCTCATTCTTTGGGAAAACAAAACAGGAATTGCTTAAATGAGAAAAATAAGCAAATCTGAAGATGATTAACATAAAATAATATATAACAAGAAGTTTGGGGATATCTAGACTCAAACTAAATATAAAATTAGATAGTGAACCTCAACCAATTTAGATAAGGAAATATTTCTACCTAGCATTTTAAGCAGTTATAAGCAATGTACCTTTATGTGATAAAGTAGTGGACTGAGCAGTTTTCCTTCTTGAAAATATTTCATTTTGAAACTTCTCTACATGCATTGTGTTTTATTGAAACCTGTTTAAGATTTAGATTTTTGCCTGTTTGTAAACTTGGCTTACCTAATGGCAAATTGAATTACAAATAGAACCTTAGGTGTCTTTTAACATGTGTTAGTAATTTGGTCATAATAAGTCATCACTATCAGAAATCATCAAAAAAACAATTAGGCAAACATGAATCAATAAGTCATCTAGTCAAAATTACCAAAACTTTTATCAGTCAAAATGTATGCTATTATATTATCAACTTCTGTGCCTTAAAAAACAATGCAGTAATTGAATAAAGAATAGATTTCTTTAGTTACTAATTTTTATACACATAGCTCAATGTAATAATGCCAGAGAGTTAAACATATAGAACCTTAAACTCAGAAGCAAGATATGCTACGTATTTGTTTTAGAAAAAAGATAGTGGGGGCACCTGGGTGGCTCAGTCACTTAAGCGACTGCCTTCAGTTCAGGTCATGATCCCAGGATCCTGAAATGGAACCCCGAGTCGGACTCTCTGTTCAGCTTCTCCCTCTGCCTGCCCCTCTCCCTGCTTGTGCCCCCCCCCTTACTCTCTCTGTCAAATAAATAAATTAATTAAATTAAAAAAAAAGAAAAGAAAAAAGTGGAACTTAAAAAGTGAAATCCATCAGTATGTAAATTTTTCTTCTTAGTTGTGTTATCAGAAAAACCCTGGGCGGCTTTATTACCATCCTTACTTGCCCATTTCATACGCTGGTTTCCTGCCAGTGTAAACCTCTATAGTATTAGCCTAGGTAAAGTTAACTTACAAGATAAATATGCTTCAAAAAAGTGAGGAAACACTCCAAATCAGGTATATTTTGGGATTGTACATGTCCTTGCTCCTTTCTTGTAAACTCGATAGTCAAGATTTGCCTCTACAGAAAAGGCAGCTCAAACTTATTTTCTGTCGTCATGTCTGTATGTTATAATCAGAAGTGGTAGCATTCATTTGTCAGTTTATAATTTAAGATGTTGACATATTTTCAGGAAATCTTTGGAAAGAGAAGACTTGGAAAAAATAATTACAGACCACGCAATTGCAGCAGGTAATAGAATTGTTTAAGTACATGTAATTAGGGAGTAATTATACTTACAGAACTAATATTTTACCTATAAACTAATATTTTCTATTAGTAGAAATATTTACCTGTAGAACTAAAATTTTCTCCTAAAATATTCATGTTTATTTTTTGGTGACTTCCAGTGTGAAGTATTCAGTATTATGTATTGTGTTAACATAAAGAGTAATTCTTTTTCATGCTGTGTATTTTTGTTTGACTGAAAACATTTCCTTTCTTTATAATGTTTATTTGCTGAGACATAGATAAGGCTGCATGGGAAGCTGACTCATAGACATTTACATGCTTTGGCCTTGAACTTAACTAAGTATTCCTCATTTATTCATGAAAAATTTTATTCAACAAAGTAAAATAAAGAATTTTTTTGAAGGTTGGAAGCGATCCTGGGAAAAAGGATTAGCAGGGTTCTCATATTAATGATTAGTTTGAGGGAAGCAGGTAGATGGGTAACTTTGTCGTACTGTCTTTTTCAAAGTTGGAGGACACGGACGGACGGACCAATGGGTTAAATCTTTCTGAAGATACAAGATACTAAGAATTTAATGATGATGATGATGGCTGACATACTGAGCCCTTCCTGGGAGCTGGGCACTATTTTAAACATAGTCTTTCCACATCACAACAGTGCTATGGAAAGGGCACTATTGTTCTTCCAAATTTCAGATGAGAAAAAAAATGATACACAAAATTTAAAGAGTAAAGGAGATTAGGGAAGGAGAAGTTACAGGAAGTAAATAAATTCCAAACAAATACTCATTCAGGTAACATTAAACAACAAGAATGCTGTTTTGCTTAAAAAAAAATTAAAAATGACTTTATATCATCTCTAGAGAAAAAAATGACAAAATTGAGTTTCATCACTGGTGACTTTAAATTCATTCCTGTCTGACATTCCTACTGCTGGAGGCCCTCCAAGTGGGGACAGTGCCCCTTCACCAAGATGTACTGTGTTTGTCATTAACAGAATGACGGGAGAGCTTTTTCTGAAATGAATCTGATTCTGTAATACTGATTGTTCTTTTGTAAAAACAGTCTCTTCAGGGAGATTAAAAGTCATATATTATACTTAATTTATCATTCTTTTGTAATTTACTGATGGGGAATTTTTATTTGGCGTTTCCAGAATTGTAGAAACTCACCGACGTAGATAATTTGAATATAGATGGCTAATATTGGTTGGAACTCTTGTTACCAGACATAAAGGGGACCAGATCATCCCATCAGATGGTGTTAAAAATAGTAGTTAACCATACAGCTCTTCCGAGAACGATTGGTTGATATGGCAGAAAAGGTATTCTTTGCTTTCAGGAGTTCCAGTGGAGATCATCAAAGAATCTCTCGGGGAAGAGCTTTTCAAAATATGTTACGAGGAAGATGAACACATCCTGGGTGTGGTTGGAGGAACCCTCAAAGATTTTTTAAATAGCTTCAGCACCCTTCTGAAACAGAGTGGCCACTACCAAGGAGCAGAAAAGAGAGGCGGGTTTGAGGACGCTTCCATTCTGTGCCTGGATAAAGATCAGGATTTCTTAAATGTGTACTATTTTTTCCCTAAGAAAACCACGTCCCTGATTCTTCCTGGCATCATTAAGGCTGCTGCGCGTGTGTTGTACGAAACCGAAGTTGAAGTGTCCCTCCTGCCTCCCTGCTTCCGAAATGATTGCAGCGAGTTCGTCAATCAGCCCTATCTGTTATACTCCCTTCACATAAAAAGCACAAAACCATCCCTGTCCCCGGGCAAACCCCAGTCCTCGCTGGTGATCCCCGCTTCCCTCTTCTGTAAGACCTTTCCTTTCCATTTCATGTTTGACAAGGACTTGACGATTCTGCAGTTTGGCCATGGCATTCGAAGGCTGATGAACAGGAGAGACTTTCAAGGAAAGCCGAATTTTGAAGAGTACTTTGAGATTCTGACTCCCAGAATCAACCAAACGTTTAGTGGAATCATGGCTATGTTGAACATGCAGTTTGTCATCCGAGTGAGGAGGTGGGACAACTCTGTGAAGAAATCTTCAAGGGTAAGGAAAATGTCATAGTGGTTGGAATATGAGAAATGATTTCATTTCTTGTTTAAGGACTAGAAACAAAAAGGTAGGAAGATAGGCATCACTTCAAACGTTTTGATGAAACACTGGTACATTTGAGACAATTCTAATATAATTTTAAGGCTGAAATAATTTAAACAAAATCCTTTCCTCATTCATTTGCTTGCTTACTTGATTCGTTACTTCACAAATATTTAGTGAATGCGGTCTACCTTTTAAAATCCTTTCAGAGTATTTTATGAGCCGAAGTAGATAAATATTTATATAAAAATATGTTTTCGATCATCATCAAATAGCTGGCAATTGGGAGGAACAAGGGGCATTATTCTGCAACAAACAAACAAAAACTACTTGTTTCTTAGAGGAGACAACTAAATGGACTTTTTAATCAATATTTAATAGACATGGAAAATCAATAACTTTTTTAATTGTTAGAGAATGTTGTGGGGGTTGTTCTTATGGTAGAGAATTTGGGTAATTATTTAGTCCAAGGAAAGAGTTTGCAAAATCGCAGTTGATGGTACAAGCAAAGCTAATATTCAGGCTTATATGCATATAACTTTTAAATGTGCATAATTCCAGGAGATGTGCAGTTTGTTCCCAAAAATGAAAACAGTTTTACCACTTTTTATCATAAAGGCAATGTAGCTAAATGCTCAAAATAGGTAATACTTAAAGATATTCACTGCAGCCAAAAAATCAAAGACATTAGTTAGATACATTTTTGTGTGTGTGAAACAAAACAAAATACTACTTGGAACTTCCTTTTTCTCACTAAACAACACATTTCAGTGAGGTATAGGCCTATTTCCTTTTTCCAAAGACTGTATACAATTCCATTGTATGCTTATCTCCTACCTAAGGACATTGGGGTTGATTTTGACTCTTTGCTGCAGGGAACACACTTATACGTATTTGTTCTCACTCATACAGTAAACCAGGATGATCACCTACAGCCTCACATCTCTCAAGGCTTCCTAGGTACAATCCTTTACGCTATCTGCTACTATGAAAAGAATATAATAGCAGAAGCATCAGCATTCCCCCTAGTGAGAAAGCCTTGAGGCAAGAATTTTTTGCATTGTTTATTGAAAATCATGATCTCTATGTAGAGTTACTCCAATCTGTCCGTTCTTCAAATGCCCACGTGCATTTTAGAATGCACAGTACCTTGGAACTATAAGAAAGCATATTGTTCCTTTTCAGCAGGTAGAAAAAAACTGAGTTTAGACACAAAGGGATCGCAACTGTATCTTCTGCCTTTCCTTTTGTCTCAAAAAGGTGTTGGAAACTGAAATAAACCACGACAGTTGGTTTGCCTTTGCTTCCCAGGTTATGGACCTCAAAGGCCAAATGATCTACATTGTTGAATCCAGTGCAATCTTGTTCTTGGGGTCACCCTGTGTGGACAGATTAGAAGATTTTACAGGACGAGGGCTCTACCTCTCAGACATCCCGATCCACAATGCACTGAGGGACGTAGTCTTGATAGGGGAGCAGGCCAGAGCGCAAGATGGCCTGAAGAAGAGGCTGGGCAAGCTGAAGGCCACCCTTGAGCAAGCCCACCAAGCCCTGGAGGAGGAGAAGAAGAAGACGGTGGATCTCCTGTGCTCCATATTTCCCTGCGAGGTTGCGCAGCAGCTGTGGCAAGGGCAAGTTGTGCAAGCCAAGAAGTTCAGTGACGTCACCATGCTTTTCTCAGACATCGTGGGGTTCACGGCCATCTGCTCCCAGAGCTCACCGCTGCAGGTCATCACCATGCTCAATGCGCTCTACACTCGCTTTGACCAGCAGTGCGGCGAGCTGGATGTCTACAAGGTAGGGGTGGAGGAGGGCAAGGCCCATTTCGCAGGCAGAAGACACTGAGAAAAAGCACGGTAGCCAGGACCCCCGAGTTACCGAGGTACCATGCAGATGAAAGGCTTTCCCTGCAAGCCACCTCCTGGGAGCAGGCATTGTGCGTTAACCATGTGGGTGTGCTCTAGCCAGAAATAGCTCCGAATCTGCTCAGAAACAGAGATAATTATTCCATGAAAGAACTGCCCCATTGTCTTCTCAAAGAATAAGCATAGAATGGAAGGGTGATAGGCTGAGTGGAGGGTGGGGTGTAGGACCCATGAACGGGTACAGTTTAAAAGTCAGTGAACATGACACTGGACTGTGGCAACCGAGTTGAATTATCAAGCATGAGATAATTCCAAGTATGACTTGCATGGGGAAAAGTTATCCTCTGTAAAAGTACAGAAGAAACATAAGGAGTAGTACTACTTTTCATAGTAGGAGTATACAAACTATCTTTTCATAGAGGAGTATACAAACTATCTTCAAATAGGTTAACTCAATATGGAGTTAACATGATACTTAGTATGGCTGATTAAGAGGGAAAAAAACACTGACTTAAGGCATTATTGAAGAGAGGCCAAGGGCAGAGACATCGGTGCAAAGAGAGGCCAGTCTTCAAATCTTGTTCTCTACTTGCTTTGTAAGGTGAGAAAGTGGAATAGCCTTTTTCATTTCTAAAACAGAAAGTAATATCCACCTACAGAGTTTAGATGCATGAATAACATACATTATGTCCCATAAGCCTCATGAACAGGCCTGTTACAAAGATGATGGTAAATAATATCTGTTATTCATGATGTAGCAGGGTTTACTGAGTGTCTGCCACGTACTGGGCATCATTCTAGGCACAGGGAGGCTCAGTAATTGTCCCTAACGAGTACTAGCCCTTTTCTTAAATGTAACTCGATCAGCCATAAGAGAACTAGTGAAGTGATTTTGTGTTCTGTGTTTCTAGAATTAAAACCTATTTTTTACTAATTTAAAGTCTTTCGCATTATTCTAGCCACTGGCATTAAGAATAAAGCACCCTTCTCATTTGTGTGGCTTGAATCACCTTTTAGTTTGTTGCATACAATCTGGAGTTTCAGAGATTCACCCAACATGAAATAAATACATTATTGAGGAGAAAACAAATATTATTTATGGGGAATACATAAGCCTCTGCTTTGTTCCAATCTAGCCACTCGAAATAAAACCTTCCTTTTAAGAATTTCCAGCAGGAAATTCCAGACAGAGCCATGATCCCCCTGGGGGGTAAAAAAAAAGAGAGATCCATGTATAATTACTGATAAAATAATTGGCTTTCGTTAGGTTAAGCTTGATGGTCTCTTGTGGAATTTGCTATATTTATTTGTAGATAGTTTCTATCTTGACATTGTCTCTTCTCGGAATTGTAAGAAGAAAGTCTTGCTCTCGCTTGCAACTGCTGCGATTGCTAGCAGAGGCAGTAGCCCTCCTCTACAAATTTCTACTTGTTGAAACTAAAACAATTCAGTTATTCCAACAAGTATTCAGAATCTGTGCTCCTTACCGCATGGATAGTAGCCACAGTTCCATGGTTAATCCATCCACAACCCAAACTAGATAGTGAATCATCTGCTCTGTCCTTATTTCCACCTTCTCTTCACTTCTGATTTTGCATGAAAGTACCTGGAGACACCTATGAATAAATCAGGAAGGGTCTTCATCAGGAGATAGATGCAAGATGCACAGAATGTGTAATCATTTGCTCGCCTGTGAGTGGTGGCTTCCAAGGAATAGTCTAGCTTTTCTTTCCCCCCAAGACCTGTTTGTACCAGGACTTTATTTAATTTCATTTTCTTGCTGTCTTTTAGTCTGTTGTTCATTTTTCAGTTTATTCAGTATTCATTTATTGATTGTTTCAGCGCATATTTACTGTCAGCCAGGGTTGGCCAGCATGAATGAAAAGATCTCATATGTGGGGGTAGAGGAGGGAGGGGCTGACCACTGCCAGATTTCCATATGACAAGGTGAAAGCCTGATTGAGAACACAGGCTTCTGTGATAGCATAGAGAATAGGCATCTAACACCAAGTAGGAGTGAGGGCGCCACTTCTTCTAATTAAGTAACAATTATTGGGCACATGAGATATGTTAGCCATTATTTTAGGCACTTCTTATATATTCGTTGCTGAGGAAAATCTTATAAGAGGCACTGCCACCTGGTTCACTTGGTAGCAAATATACTGGGCACTGGAAATTTAGGAGTTAGTAAAACAGGCAAACTGAGAGAGCTAACATTCTACTGGGGAAAAGAAGGAACATGAACCAATGAGTAAATTTATAGCATTCCAACTGGTGTGCTATTCTGGATAAAGTTGAGAAGGAGAAGTGCAGAAGGTAAGGGTGATTGCTATTTTATAGAGGGCAGTTGCGAGAGGCGTTTCTCACGTGGGGATGTTTTAGCAGGCACTGGAGGAAATGAGGGACATGCCAAGTGGCTCTCTTCAGGAGATTGTTCCAGCCTGAGGAATAGCAAATGGGAACATGTTTGGTACGTTTGAGGGATAACAGGAGGCCAATGGCACTGGGACAAAGTGAGCAAGAGAGAGGCTGAAGAAATAAAATCAGAGATTAGCAGACAGGTCAGAAGAACTTTGGAGGCATTTTAAGAGTTTCAGCATTGATTCTGAGTAAAATGGAGAATCACTGAAGGTTTGTCTCCCTTTCTTTTTTCCTTTCTCATCTCCCTCCATACGAGAAGGTTTGGATAAGAGGAGTGATATGATCTAATAAGTTACAGTAAATATTTAGAGGAGAAGAAAAACGCAATGATGAAGATTTGGTGGATTATTTGTGGATTTAAATTAACCAGTAGCTTTGTCATCAGCATCACGGACAGATAAAAATCCCGTTACAACAACTGTAATGACAATGATAACACTTGGAATTTGTAGAACAGCTTGATTTTCAATAGGCTTCCAAGCACCCTTGTTTGATATCTTGATTTCTATACTTCATGATTGATACTCATGGCAACCTACTTACAGTTGCTCTGAGAATCCCCAAATCCTTTTGAAAAACTATAATGTCTTAGTTTCATATCACACATTCTTGTTAACTTCATATGACATTGGTTGAGCAGTGACTGTTCAAAACACTGCACGCGAAGAGGATATAAAATCAGCAAGTGATTCCGATATCTTTAAGCAATTTGTCATAAACACAAGATATCATTTACATTACATCATTGGCCTCTACAGAGCCACTTTACATGGTGGGGGGAAAAAAAAGGTGAAATGCTGTGTTGAGTCAGCAGCTAGTCTGGGAGTAGAAGCTACCCCCTGACGTTGTGCTCACAGGACCACACTGTCCTCCAGAGCAGCACCTGATGTAAAAGCATCTAAACTTGATGAATTTCGTGAAAGAGAAAGCCATTTCTGAGAGTGTCTGATTTACTCTGATTTTCCAGAGGGCCTGACCCCTGCGATTTCTGCTCTATGACCTTCACTCTCCTTCTTTCCGACTTGTATTTGTAATATGGAAAATCTGTTACCTGCAGGTGGAGACCATTGGCGACGCATACTGTGTGGCTGGGGGATTACACAAAGAAAGTGACACCCATGCTATTCAGATAGCACTGATGGCCCTGAAGATGATGGAGCTCTCTGATGAAGTTATGTCTCCCCACGGAGAACCTATCAAGGTAAGGCAGATCATATACTGCTCAGCAAATGTCATGGAGAGTACATGCTTATTAATTAGTTATCCAAAGAATAGTCCATCCATCGGGGTCTGGTTGCAGAGAGCAAAATCTCTTAAGTGGTGGAAGCTGGAAAACATTTACAATTGGGTCTCCAGTGGCTTACAGAATCACCAAGAGGACAAACAAAGCCATCTAGAAGTGAAACCTTCAAAAAATGGCTCCCAACGCTGCTCTTCAGAGCCCCTGTTTTTTTCCAAGATCAAGCAGTTGGCTCCAGAACTATACCACCTCAGCCACAGTCAGGAAACCGCTATGTTCAGAAAGCTGCTGCCTCTATTATTGGCTGCAGAACAAAACTGCACTTATTACAATTTGAGTCAGTAACATGGAAATCCCGCATCGTGACCTTCACAAGACGAGGGACTGGAAACTGGGCTAAGTTTGCCGTAGAAAACCCAGAGGCTGCCACCGTGGGCCGCAGAGGTGCAGTCATAGCCAAAAGCCTGGCTTCCAAATCGCTTGCAAGTATATCTGATTCACCAAACCAAAACGCACCTAGAAAATGCAAGGGAGTTTGGAACACGTCATTTTTAGTCTTCCAATCCCTGCAGGGGAGGACATTACACTATAATGAAAATTGACTGCTAATCCACCCCAATATTTTCCAAAGCACACAATACTCTAAAATTTCTAGATTATCTCAGAATAACGTCTTATTACAGATGAGAAGATAAAATTACCATGCTTGGCATTATAGTTTAATAGAATACAAGAAGATTACCTTTATTTGTCCTAATTGAGTGAATCTGCTACTTAATTTTTATAGAACAGTTCTCAATTGATGATCTTCAGAAATGGGACTTTGAGGGGCGCCTGGGTGGCTCAGTCGGTTGGGCATCTGCCTTCAGCTCAGGTCATAATCCCAGGGTCCTGGGATCGAGCCCCGCATCAGCCTCCCTGCTCAGCGGGAAGCCTGCTTCTTCCTGTCCCCCCTGCTCATGCTCTCTCTCTCACTCTCTTTCAAATAAATAAATAAAATCTTAAAAAAAAAAAAGAAATGGGACTTTGAAGTCATATAGAATCCTATCTGGCATGCCATAAAATAATAGAGAAATGAAAGAAAAAAATGTAAAATACAAAACTATAATACTTAGTAGCATAGCCTTTACTCTCTTCATAATAGAAGCCATATGTTGAGCCCAGCTTTTTTCTCCTTCTTACCCTGCTACCTGATGGAATAGAATCAAAGTGAAAGAATAGGAAATATTTCCTTTTTTTTCAAGCTCTATGTGTTTCTCCAACATACCATATGTATAAATCATCTATCACTGTTGATTTCCTTACTAACATCCACCCACTCCGGCTTAGAAAGCCGCAGGTGGAGTATTGATAGAAACCAGAGGGCTGAATGTGGCAGGGAAAGTCAGTAAGTGCAAACTGAACTTGGAAACAGACTCCTGTTACCCTCCTTCCTATTCCCAAGGCGTCTACGATGAGACACGTGCTGTGGCAAACATGGTCCCCAAATGGAAGATTTCCCCAGCAGGTTTCCATTCAGGGTGTGCTGCGCATCCAAAGTTATAAACTTTGGATCATTTTCTCATGAATTCTAAATGAAATTTGTGAATTCGCTGGTGAATTTGAGAAGTTCCCTGATAAGAAAGCTGTGGAGCTGAGAGCGAAATTCAGAACTGGCAAAGGGAAGAGAGGGAGGGAGAGCAGCATGGGAGGAACCAAGGGGCATTTACTTTATCTGCCTTGTTTGGATTGATTGATTATGAAATAGAAAAAAATTTATCATAAATTTGTCAGAGACAAAGCTAGAATAACTAAGTACAGAGAGAGAAACAGGTTTAACCAGGAGAGCGCCCAAAGAGAGCAGTCTGATCTAACTTATGTGCTAAAATGGTGTTTGTTATTTATACACAGAAGATAGCCTTTTGCTCATATTGACCAGATGGTATATGTGCAAAACCACATTCTCCTAAAGAAAAAAATGCCAGATGTAACAGATAACTAAGCTTTGCTGATTAAAATGAAAATGTGACAAAGAAGGGACTCTAAAACTAATTCAATCCTGTATTTTATAGATGAGGAAATAATGAACGGGACATAAAGAGACTCACAGAAAGTCAGACTATCCATTGTTAGCAGAGTTTGTTTGCGAATGCAGGTCTCCTGATTCATACTATAGTGCTTTTGTTTGAAAATTGTGCAGAATTCATGATTTGACGTCTTATAAGCAAATGATTCTGGAACACTGTTAGGAGATACCTAAAATCAGTTGTAAAACTAAGCTAAACTGGAGTCTTCTGAATTCTGAACAACATTAAATCATTGAGTACTTAGCCTTTGTTTAAAATGCATATATCTAATGAAACTTTTTTAAATGGTCAACTGAACAGAGGACTTGAAAAGAATGAACATGGTGCCCGATTGTCATATAAAATATGTGACTTTAACTTGAACTTACTGTATCTTTAACTTACTGTATTGTAGCAGCAATTTTAGAATTTGTACATCCCCTGAGATCATCAAGAATTAAGATCTTATAGAAGATGCCAGTTTAAAATATTGTTTTAATTGTTCTCCAAATCACTGGTAACCTTCAGAATTCCTAAACTTTTACCCTAGCATATCCCAGACCGCACCTTATATCTAGATAATGGCCCAGCTCTGGTTTTCCCTGCATCCAGGCGGGTTTAACAAAAGTGTCTCTGTGGTCATTGCGATGCCGGTCTAAGCAACCCTGGCTCTGCTTCCTCTGTCTGTGATGTGTTCTACTTAAACATCACAGTTCCTTTCTCCTTTCACATTCGTCACGGAAGAGCGGGGAAGTGTCTGTCATAAAGTTCTTTTTATTCTTTATATTCTAAGAGCCGGCTTCTCCTGCCCTTCTCTGACAGTGCGTTGGGAAGCAACCCCTGGGGGCCAGGAATTTTGTCTCCCTTGATGGACAGAGCAGGTTCACGTAAACAGCCCACAGGCGCTTCACCTTGTCACTCTGGTGACTGTGATAGGGATGCATGGAAATGTGTTTCAGACATTGAAGGCAGCTGAAACAAAGATGCTTTGTGGAACAGACCTAAGTGCATAGTGGAGAAGAGTTAAGAGGTGTGACTGATTTTGTACTAGTAATTTTTAATTGGATGCGAGTAGAGGGAAGTTGGCAGGAGGTCTTGTGGAAGAGTGGAATGGTGTAGTGACAGTGAAGGGTAAAATCATGTAAAGGGCATTCATACGGTGCCGACGAACGAACGCGAATTATTTTGCCAGTGACGGGGACATTGTGTTACTTTTGGCTTTCAGATGCGAATTGGACTGCACTCTGGGTCAGTTTTTGCTGGAGTCGTTGGCGTTAAAATGCCTCGTTACTGTCTTTTTGGAAACAATGTCACCTTGGCGAACAAATTTGAGTCCTGCAGTGTACCACGGAAAATCAATGTCAGCCCAACAACGTACAGGTGCGGTTTGCATTGAACGCCTGAAATCTATTCTTTTCATTTATACACAGTTGTCATGTTTATATTATCATCCATAACATTTTCTTGCTTAATCTGACAAGAAAGAGAAAAGCAATAATTTTATTATCCTCACCTTTTTTAAAATTACTCAGCTTCATGAGAACAACTCAGAGATATTTGTAGCCCAGGTGTAACCCTTAACACACGTCCTATCTTCCCCCACTATTATTCTTTTTTTTTTTAAGATTTTATTTATTCATTTGAGACACAGAGATACAGAGAGAGAGAGAGCATGAGCAGTGGGCGAGGCAGAGGGAGAGGGAGAAGCAGACTCCCCGCTGAGCCAGGAGCCCGATGTGGGGCTCGATCCCAGGACCCTGGGATCATGACCTGAGCCAAAGTCAGACGCTTAACCATCTGAGCCACCCAGGCGCCCCCCCCACTATTATTCTTTTCAAAGCACGTATTAATGCTCTCCATACTTTGATGGTTATTCTGACAGCAGAACTATCCTGGCACTAGCCACCCAGACTTAGCATGGTCCCCACAAGTTATAGGGCATGGTCCTCAACATGCCCTCAGCTCAGGTGCCAGACAGGGAGACGTTTCATCTCATTTTAAGAATCCAATTATAGGGCGCCTGGGTGGCTCAGTCGTTAAGCGTCTGCCTTCGGCTCGGGTCATGTTCCCAGGGTTCTGGGATCGAGTCTCGGTCGGGCTCCCTGCTTGGCTGGAAGCCTGCTTTTCCGTCTCCCGCTCCCCCTGCTTGTGTTCCCTCTCTCGCTGTGTCTCTCTCTGTCAAATAAATAAATAAAATCTTAAAAAAAAATAAGAATCCAATTACAATGGAAATGCTTGAATAACAAAACGTGTTCCAGATACATGTGGTAGCTAACGTACCAAACTGTACCAAGCAAGTTATCATTCTTATTCTCAGAGACAGCTGTTTTATAGCACCTTTCTTTCTCCTTAAAACTCCACAGCCTTTCCTTTCCAGCCCTGGCTCTAAGTCGATAACTTCACTTCATATTTCACAGGAGAAGACAAAAATGCATCAGATAAGCACATCACCACCTTCTCCAGGGCAGACCCCATTAACCTAGCTCCCCCGGGGCCTTGGTCTTAGGCACTTGTTGGGGTGACAGTGCCGCCCTCCGCCCTGCTCCTCTTCTAGACGCTCCCCCCAGGTTTGCTCTGAGTGCTGCCACATCGCTTGCTTTCTCAAAAACTTATCTCCTGAAAATACCTGCTCTCTCTCTACGATTAATTTCTCTGGTGAAACGATTATTCCCATCAGAATACAGACATATCTTACTATCAGACCTCTTAAAATAGTATATTCCTTGTTTCCAAGTGTATCTCAGCTACCCCCCTATATTTCTATTCCTTTTTCCAGCAAAACTCGGTGCAAGAGTTGTTCATGCTCACCGTCTCTATTATTTTTTTACCTCCCATTGGCTCTCTGACTCACACCGATCGGCATGTGTCCCTTGCACTCCATTGAAATGGTTCTTATCAGGGTCATCGGTGTCCCTTGCGAAAATCGTGGTCAGTTCTCTCCCCTTATCTTCCTCAACATCTCAATGGTAACTGAATAGCTTGAGCACTCTCTCTGTTGAACGTTTTCTTCTTAGGCTTTTGTGACACCACGTTCACCTGGTTTTCTCATTACCCCGTGACTTCACCATCTCAGTGTTTTGTGTTGTTACTCTTCCTACCAAACCTTCGAAGTGCCCAGAGCTCTGTCCCCATTGTCTTCCATGTCTGGACTTTACTGACTCACCTTTTTTTTTTTTTTTTTAATCTCTAGCCCATCCCACAATTCTCCACTGATCTACAGACTTGTGTATCTCATTCTATGTTTCTATTTGGATGACTAATTGACAAATTAAAATTAACATTATCATCTTAGAACACATGATTTCCCATATACCAGAGCCTGATGAAATCCTCTCCCCTCAGCCAGACTAGCTTTATCAATCTCCTTAAAATCGCACCACCATCTATCGCGTTCCTTCGACCCTAAATCTCAGAGTGATCATTGCTTTCTCCCCCAACAACTTACCACATCCACCTACAAATTATATCCTGAATACATCTTTTTTCACTTCCTTCAGGACTGCACCCCAAGGCAAGGCTCCCTCCTCTGTCCCACCAGAGCCAACCCAGGATCATCCTCACCCTTCTGCTTGCTTTCTTGTACAACTCCTCCCCACCGTCCATCTGCCCGCCACACAGTAGCCAAATTGTCTCTCGAAAGTATAAATCCGATCTCGTCACTCCTGCGTTAAAACCCCTCCAATGGCTTCCCACTGCAGCCAGAATAAAATTTAAGTATGTCACCACAGACTAAAATGTCCTCTTTGATCAGTGTCCTGCCAACAACCTGTGTCACTTTATTTTCTTCCACTTTCTCCTTCGCTCACTGATACCCTGCCACCCTGTCCTTCCTTTTTTTCGTCAGACTTGCTAAACCCATTCCTGAATCAAGGATACTGACTGTTCTTCTGCTTTCCACTTCTTCCCTGGATCATCCTGCGTCTTCCTCTTTCTCAGAATTAGACCTTAAGTCAAATGTCACCTCTTCAAAGACACACTGGTCAGTTAACTGCTGTAGCTAGAGGAACAACTTTCATCCCACACACCTCACGTTATTTTATTTTTTCATCTTAGCTCACACCTGTGTCTGAAACGGTGTTTTCTTTATGTGTTTATTGCCTGCCTCGCCTTGTAGAGTGTCAGCCTCCTGCGTATACATTTTATAGCCCCACTTCCCAGATCAGTGCCTGGAACACAGTAGGAAAGCAATAAGTATTGATTGATTGACAGGCCACTCTTTGATCTGAAAATGAGTCACTATAGCAAGAGAATTGGGAAAGTCCTTGGAGACTGTTGTAATGGTAATAGCCCTGGAGTCTTCCCACATAAGCCAGACAAGGATAAGAACTCAAGTCCTTAGAGGAAAGGACTGCTCTCTGGAGGATGTAAGAGTAATAATCTGGAGGATGTGAGAGTAATAATTAGTAAGAGTATTTGCTTATCCATTCATTGCTGTTGCATGTTCAATAACATAATATATATGCATGAGCACCATGAAGAGTCCTTGGCTGTGTATCTATCCTTAAAACCAAACCTTTGCATAAAAAAAAGGTGTATTTTCTATTTCTTCTATTTTAATTGTTTTCAGACAGTATAAGACAAAACTTTTCCAAATTTTTCCTTTGTTTCATATCTCAAAGTCTGGTTGTCTTAAATCTTGATAGGAGACATTGATATCAGCTACTCATTTTACTCCCCAAATGTTATTTAGGATCTCGTGTCTTCCCAACAGAGGATCATGACACTTTGATATACATTTTCAGCAACTGGAGAAGGCTCATAGCTTAAATCCTTAGATTCATCATATAGTCAATGTTATTAGGCATGCACATACAGGATTTTACACCATACATAGTGTCACCTTTTTTTAATCAATTATTTTTTATTATAATAGTAATATATGCTTATTTTAGAAAATTTACAATATCAGAAAGTTATGAAGGGAATAAAAATAACTCAATCTCACGATCCAGAGATAGTAACTATTCACATTTTTGTGTTTTTTCATTGTTTCTTAGTATGTGTTTTTATGCACCTATGTAAATGATAATGAATATTTAATCGATAGTGAACATCAGTGCATTTGCTAAATTTATTTCTATCTTTTGTAAAAAAATATGGTATGGTTTATTTGTTTTTTCCTTTTTCAATTTACTTACCTCTTACTCTCATATAGGAAATATTTATGTCTTCTCTAAAGGGCAAGTGGTAGTTAAAATGCTTTATTTAGGCAAGAAATAAGTATTTAATGTGAAATACGTTTAACCACATTTTAAAAGGCTTTCTTTTAAAAACTATTTTTTTCCAAATGATAGGAAAATTTAAAAGAGAATAGATAATTTAAATTCAGTCAAAAGTCCATGCTTTATGAAATTTAACAACTGGATTGTAAAATAGAGACATAATTCCAGTTCTGTTAAAGTTCGGGACAAACAGTAGACTCTATTAGAAATTGTACAAATATAAAACCTAATTATTTCTTTGGAGAACTTTACTGGTAATACATTGAAATCTAGGGTGACATTTCTCAAAAAATAAAAGAATATCAAACGTAGCATCCCTGATACACTTACGAAACACTTGCAAATTTAGGACACAGAATACATACCCCACACGCACAAAAAGTTCTTAACTTCAAATCTTGCCTTTCACTTCTAATTCTAATCAGTAATTTAAAATGTTGCTATGTCATGACAGTTATACATTCCTTTATTCTAAATGTCATGAGGAATTTTATTTTCGGGGACAATGTTCTGCCTTCTTGTTTGATCTTACTGCAGTGCAGGAAACGGAGACGAGACTAAGTATTGTCCAAGTTTCAGGTCAGCGGATTAATAAGACAGGTTTATGTGGTGATCCAGGGATCATTAAAGACGAAAATGGCTCGTGGGGGATATAAATGGATACTGCCCAGGGTGGGTGGGGAAGTAGACCCAGGAACTCCTGTTTGCAAGAAACATCTGAGAACCTAATAACAGGGAAACAGGACTTGAATTCTAGAAGGGGAAGGAACAGAGAGAAGAAAGAGAATATGGAGGGATGACAGAAAAAAGGAGAGTTAATACAGCAATTTGGGGAAAATGGTATTGGGTCGAGAGAGAATAAAGAAAAACTCCCACCATATGTGGACATCTGCCCTGAGACTGTTGTTTTTCTTGGGTCTGACTTCCATCAGGCTTTCATCTAAATGGTATTATTTTTCCAAACTGTTTTCCTTAAAAATTCTGATCTTTTTGGGACACCTGGGTGGCACAGTCGATTAAGCGTCTGACTCTTAGTTTCAGCTCAGGTTGTGATCTCAGGGTGGTGACCTCAGAGTCGTGAGATTGAGCCCCGCATCGGGCTCCACACTCAGCAAGGAGTCTGCCTAAGATTCTTTTCTCCCTCTGCCCTTCCTCCCTGCACGTTCTCTGTCTCTCTCAAATAAATAAATAAATAAATAAATAAATAATCTTTTTAAAAAAATCTGATTTTTTCTTGAAGATGATTTAATGAACATTTCTAACTTCATGATTCTCTAATTGTGTTTATCTGTAAGTTTCTTAAAGCATAGAATTTGTATTCAGAATACATGCTGTACAGCTAAACACAGCTCTCCAGATGTGCCTTCATGAGCAAGGCACCTCAGTTCAAATGGTATACTTTAAGGCCACTTCTAAGTGCTGAATATTTTATATGAACTCAAATGTAAGGTTAATATTGTAATTACCATATTCAATAGAAGATGCTGGGTTGATGTGGACAGAAAAAAGAAAGATCTTAATTACCTATAATTTTATTATTGTTATTTATCAAACCTTTTTAGTTTTATGCATTTTTATAATTAATTTTTAAACATTTTAAACCTACAGAAAAAAAATCAAAGAAAATGTAACACCCATGTGGCCAATTCTAATATTTAATAAATGTCAGTATGTTGCCATTTTTGTTTCAGATCCCTATTTTATAAAAAAAAAATAAAATATTCTGGCCCCGCCCCCCCAACTGTCTGACATGTTGGACTCTATGCCCCTTAGGGTTTGTAGGAGCAGCTGAGAACATACATTTCCCACAGACAGGCAGGCTCCCAAAGAGAGGCAGGAAGGGGCTGAGAAGAGCATGCTCAGCAGCTTCTCCCAAACTCACTACTAGGAAAGAAAGTGGGCAGAGAGAGGCCAAGAGTGTAACTCTCATTTAGGTTCCACCAGAGGAAAAGAGATGTCCGTTCAACCTATCCTTGTCCTTTCCCGACTTGCCTTAAATCTGCTGCATATTATGTTTTTGAGATATTTTTTTTGATGAATTGTAAACCTAGTTCATTTATTTAAACTATTCCTAATGCAGCGGTGTGCAGGTAAACCAGCATTGGGAGTAAAGTGGAGAATCTTTGATTTTTAGCATTTACCGATTTCTATGGTGTATGTACTCCCACCACAGCAGGTTTCAGCTACAGGTGGAGTTAATCGGCTCATAAAATTCCTGAATGTTTAGCTGTTGGCTCTCATAAGCCAGTATGAGCCAGGTCTAGCATGTCACTATATGTGCATGTGATATAAAATGTATTCTAGAGTATGAATAAGCTATATATATCTATAATATACCTACAAATGGTATTCCCAGATCATAGGCAATATCCAGTTTAGCTTTACTGAACATCAATTAGCTGTCCAAATTGGTCTTACCAATTTATATCCCACCAACAGTATATGAAGGTTTCTATTCCCTAAATGTTACCAATATGATGAGTGTTAACTGATAATTAATTGATGCTTAACCAATCATGTTTAATCTATTTACTTCATCTCCACAGCTGTCCTAAGAGACCTGTACTATTATTATTCCATCTTAAAAGCTAGAAAACTGACATCTTTGCTGCTGTTCCAGCCCAGATCTACCAGACTCTGAAGCTTATAATTTTAATACTATGGAATTCTGTAACTTCTCATTATATATTACCAAATATTATGCCTCATAAATAACAGACACTCAAATATTTATGGATCATGACTAAAGCATCATTTGATTAATTATTTTGCAAATTACATATTTATTGATGAGTTTTTAAAAATTAGCTAATTGAATATTCACATGTTTTTTTCTACTTGAGGTCTGTCATTTTTGAAACCTGGATTTCTATTCGGTTGGTTTCTTCAGTACATAAAGAGGTGTCTTGGTACCAAACCTAATGCAACACCATCATTCTATTACATTTAGGCATGACATCACAAACAGATGAATTGGAGGTCATGGTCTGGTTGGGCAGATATAAGGGGTTTTCTGGGGAAGCTGGTTTAGGGCCCAGAACTGTCAACATTTTCCATCCTGAATACATATGCCTGAATAATAGGTTAGAGAAATGCTTACGAAGTTTGCATTTGACAGAAAGCTAGGGAAGCAAATAGAAAGAAGAGCCAGTAACTTCATCAGTAGGATTGGAACTTAAAATGAATTTAACTCATATGTGGAATTTAAGAAACAAAACAAACAAGCAAAGGGGGAGAGAGAGACAGGCTAACCAAGACATAGACCCTTAACCGCAGAGAACAAACTGATGGTCACCAGAGGGGAGGAGGGTGGGGGATGGGTGAAATAGGTGGAGGGGATTAAGGAGGGCACTTGTGATGAGCACTGATGGAAGTGTTGAACCTAATATCACACTGTATGTTAACTAACTGGGATATGAATAAAAACATTAAAAATTAAAAATAAGCAAATACAATAAAATGAGTTTACCATAATGGATACATAGTTAGTAGCAGATAATAAAATGTGGTAAACAGATACATTTAAGAAGAAATATTTCAAATACCAGATAGTAAGAGGAGTGTCAATTTGTACAATTAAATCGCCTTTTAGTCGTACTAACCTAGAATTCATAAAAATTCTATTGAGAGATTCAAATGTTATTCTTTGATTATATATATGTATAGATATAGATATATCTATATAGATATATAGATATAGATATATCTATATAGATATATAGATATATCTATATCTATATATCTTACATAGAACTTCTCTTTTACAACTTCTTGCCCTTGACTACTTCTCCATAATATTTACGAAATAAATGAATCAATAAATAGACAATGTCTTTTCTCTTTCAACTTAGGAAGCCTTATTCTATAAAACTATGTTTATGCATGGGTTTGGGGGTCTTTTGCTATTATTAGAGTTTTGGATTATTTTGGTTTTTTTCCCACTATTGTGAATTTACTGTTATATGAATTATTGGTTATATCTTTACAAAAATATTTTATAACTTTTTTTCCTAATATGAGTGAAATATATTATTTGGTAGAATTTTTTTTGTTATTGTGAATTGATTCTTCATTGTTATTCTGTGAAGGTGTTTTTTAAAATCATTATGATCGAGGCGCCTGGGTGGCTCAGTCATTAAGCATCTGCCTTCGGCTCAGGTCATGATCCCAGGATCCTGGGATCGAGCCCCGCATCAGGCTCCCTGCTCAGCGGGAAACCTGCTTCTCCCTCTCCCACTCCCCCTGCTTGTGTTCCCTCTCTTGCTGTGTCTCTCTCTGTCAAAAAATAAATAAAATCTTTAAAAAAAAATCATTATGATCTTTCTGTCAATCACACTGTAAATGATTGGTTTATTAATACAGAGAGTTCCCAGCTTTTGGTGATTAACTTAATGATTTTTCAACTTTACAATGGTGGGAAAACTATAAACATTCAGTAGAAACCGTAGTTTGAATTCTAATTTTTGATCTTTCCCCTAGCTAGCGATATGCCACATGACACTCTTATTCACAATCGGGAATAAACAACCAATACACTTACAACCATTCTGTTTTTCACTTTCAATAAAATATTAAATAAATTATATGAGATATTAAACATTTTATTATAAAGTAGTCTGTGTGTTAGAGGATTTTGCCCAACTGCAGGCTACTTTAAGTGTTCTGAGCACATTAAGACAGGCCAGGTCAAACTATGATGTTCCGTAGGTTACGTGGTTAGGTGTGTTAAATGCATTTTCAACTTATGGTATTTTCAACTTATTAATATGTAATCCCATCATAAGTCAAGGAAGATCTGTAGTCTCAGGAGTATTGATTTAGTTGGTTGTTTTTTCTTGCATAGACAGTTGTATCAGTATTCAATTTTAATATTAATATTTTTATTTTAATCTTTATTAATACTTATATTTTAATCTTTTCAGATTACTCAAAGACTGCCCTGGTTTTGTGTTTACCCCTCGATCAAGGGAAGAACTTCCACCAAACTTCCCCAGTGAAATTCCTGGAATCTGTCATTTCCTGGAAGATTATCAACCAGTAACAAATTCAAAACCATGGTTCCAGAAGAAAGATGTTGAAGATGGCAATGCCAATTTCTTAGGCAAAGCCTCAGGAATAGATTAGCAAAATATATATCTGATTATTAATCCTTGGGTTTTGACTCCTGTGAGCATGGGTGGAATCTCTAAAAGCACTTTACGATTGCAGATGACTAAGAACAGTATTAAAATTTCAGGAGCTAAGTCACGATCTACTTTTTCTTCCACTTAACATGACAAAAATGTTTTTACTTCGATACTTCAAGTCTTTAGGGGGAAAAAAAGGAAAGAAACCTCAAAAATGGCATTTGGGGGTTATTTCTGTTACTATACCCACCATTTATTATCTGTACTCACAATTCAGCACATGTACATCTATCAGGTAATTGCAGTGTCCTGACCCGCACAGCCTGATGGAATGACCCACAGTCTTGTGTCATGGTGGCATGCCATGGTTGTAAAAGTGCATTTGTGATAGTGTGACCTCCAAAAAGCTTTCCAAATAGATATTAGAGTCTTTGATACCATAAGCTCTTTGAACCTTTCAGCTCTGCATTTTATTACATTTCTTCATTTCACTGTTGGTGTATATAACAAAATAGGTTGAATATTTTTTCTGTTGCACTTTTCCTTTTTCTTTTTTTTAAGAAAATAAGCAATTATGGGTTAGATGCAATATGAATATAAAGTAGTTCTTCTATAAATATCAAAGATTGTTTTATAAAAATATCTGCCATAACGTAATGTGTCATATCAATAAATACTGCCTTTTGTTTGACATTTTTCTATTCTGCACTTTGGTAAAGGCTATTTTAATTCATATTAACAATTTAATTCTATTAATTCATTTTTGTATCATAACATTTGGGATAAAAGAGGGTTACAGCCTATATTAAAATGCAATAATATCATTCTAATTTAATTTAATTAGAAGCAACATGAGAGTAAAGTAAGAATCCAGGGAATATACCATAATGTCCAGAAGTAAAACATTTAAACACACACACAGAAATTTGGATCTATTTCAGCAGACATCCTGCATTGCCATACTGAGCCGTATAAAGTTCCAATGAGAAAATCTAAGTTCAGAAGTGGGAAATGAGACTTGTTCTTTTTTGCTAATAGCTTATTTTTAAATATTTGTGTTGGACACTTTAGTGTGTATATATGTCCTAAGAATCATCAAGTTTTTTTCTCTAATTAAGTACACATTTGTGAATGTTTTTAATCTAGTTGAATGATCTCAATGATATTTTTTAAAGAGAATGTTAGTATTGATGAAGAAAATGATGTTATGATTTCATTAAGAAAATTCTCAAACATTTTTCTGGAGCTGGAACTTCTATTTTTAGTGATATTAGTCTAAGCTCTCTGAAGAACTAAATAACCTACAGAGTTTGGTGTGGAATAAGGATCTCATTTTAAAAAGAGCTCCATTTCAAAAGAGGAGAAAGATGAACATTATAATTTTTAAATCAGTATTAACAGAGTCATAGATACACTAGCCTGGTGACCTCAGGAATAAAAAGTGATTACTGATTGGCCTCTAGTATCCCAAGTTTACTACGACAGATACAACAAGTTAGTGAATGAAATCCCAACCTCATGAAGCACTAATTGTATAATAATATACCAATCAAAATACCAATCCTATCATTGGAGAGTACCATAGGCCTTGGAAAAATAGAATTATAGTCTCACAATTATATGAAGTTAATAAAAACATTTTATTTTTTTTAAAGATTTTATTTATTTATTTGAGAGAGAGAGAATGAGAGACAGAGCACGAGAGGG